TTATTTTTACATGGTAGCCGAACCACAATAAGACAATGTATAAAGAAATTGTTAGAAATTGTATATTTTGATATTTGTAGATCAATGAAGATACCATTAATTAAAAAAAAAAAGATACATTATCATATTTATTGATGATTTTTTAAGAAAAGTTTGGATTTACATCATTAAAGCCAAGAATAAATGTTTTTCAAGGTTTAAAGAGTTTTAAGCTTTTGTAGAGAAATAATGTGAGTGCAAGCTCAAAGTATTACGTATGGATAATAGAAGTGAGTATATATCAAAATATTTTGATGAATTCTTGAAGATTCAAGGTGTTCCAAGACAATCTTCTATTCTCTACATTCTACAACAAAATAGAGTTGTTGAAACCACAAATCACACCATTATAGAAATGGCAAGGAGTATGATTCTTATATAAAATCTTGGGCATGAGTATTAGGCAAAAGCAATGGTAAATATAATATATATAAGAAATAGGTATCCAATAAGTACACCCACATCAATGACTGCCTAAGAAGTTTGGAGTGTCAAGAAATCTTGTATTTCAGACATAAGGATTTTTGGATGCATTACCTATACAAATATATCAAATTATATGATGTCCAAACTTGATGCAAAAGGTACAAAATGTGTGTTTATTGGATATTGTGAAGATACTAAGGCATATAGACTAATGTGTTTAGAAATCAAGAAGATCATCAAGAGTCATGATGTAGAATTTTTGGAATATAAAGGTACTTATGAGTACTTGGAGATGTGTCAAAGTGGGAGTAATAGTATATTTGTGGATACATCTTTAATTTCAGCCAAAGAATAAGAAGAAGATGATGACATTGATGATGGTGGAAATTCAAATCATGATGAAGAGCCAAAGAAGGTAAATCATAGTCTGCCTACAATTGCTGAAACTAGCAATGAAGACAATGAGAATGTTGAAGATGATGATGAGAAGTACTGACCTTTGAATGTAAAGAAAGAAGTTTTAAGAAAGAAGAAGCTTAAAAGAAACCTTAGAGTGAAAGAAGATAAAGCTTCATCAAGTGAAAGGAGATATTGTTTGAGAGATAGAAAACAACTTAGTGCATGGTAGAAGAATCACATCTTTCTTCAAGTAAGTAAAGAACATGCCAATATTGCACTCTTTGCTAATTTATTGAATTTTTGTAATGCAATAAAGTCCACAGATTTTGTAAAGTGGAAGAATGTCATATAAGAAGTTACAAATCACTAATAGATATTAGAACATAGAAATTGACTCAACTTCTACCAAATTGATCTTCAATTAGTTGTAAGTAAGTGTTTGGAATCAAAAAAGATGTAATAGATAATGTTGTAAGATATAAGTCTAGATTGATTGCCAAAGGCTATTCACAAGTTTTTGGTGTTGATTTCAATGAGACATTTGCTCCCATGGCAAAATTCACCACCATTAGAATCATTCTTGCAATTAAGGCAATAAGAGACTTTGAGGTATATCAAATGGATGTAAAGACAACTTTTTTAAATGGAAATCTAAAAGAAGACATTTATATTGATCAAATTTGAAGATTTGTAGAAGAAGGCAAATAACATCTTATTTGTAAGTTGAAAAAAACTTTGTATGGGTTCAAACAATCTCCAAAGACATGGTATCAACATATTGATACATTCTTTATGAATGAAGGATTCTTAAATAGTGAATTTGATCATTTCTTGTTTGTGATATAATTAAGTGAATTCATATTGATTATCATCTTCTATGTTGATGATTTGGCCATCTTAACCAATACTATGAGGATGATGGATTGAATGAAGGCAAAGTTAAAAAAAAAGTATCAAATGAATGATTTGGAAGAGCTTCGCTATTGTTTAAGAGTAGAGTTTATGAGAGATCATGCTAAGGAGACCATTACAATGAGCCAAAGCTAGTATATTGAAGAAGTGTTGAAACGATTCAATATATAAGAATATAAGCCTATTGGAATACCTTTGGAGGTCAATTTGAAGTTAATGAAACTCATAGGTGAAGAATTTGGTGAAATTGAAGGTCAAATGTAAGGTATTTTATATAAAACAGCAATGGATTCACTTATGTATGTAATGGTTTGTATAAAGGTGGATCTTCCATATGCAGTGAAAGTTGTAAGCCAACACATGTCAAAGGCTAGACTAATCCATTGGGCAACCATCAAAAGAATCATGAGGTATTGAAAAAGTATTTTGAATTTCAAATTTTGCCTTGGAGATGATAACATTAATTTACATGGTTATTGTGATGCGGATTGGACTAGAGATGCAAATAATAGAAGATCATAATAAAATATGTATTTTTTGTTGAAGTGGGAGCTATGTCATGGAATTGCAAGAGACAACAAACAATTGTAAGATCAACAATGGAAGCAGAGTACATGGCAGAAAGCCATGGTGCAATAGAGGCAATATGGCTAAGACAACTTCTAGAGGACATAGGAGTATTACAAATAAAAGCAACTCCAATACAATAAGACAATAAAGGATGTCTTACAATTGCAAAGAATTCAAAATAACATTCAAGGACCAAGTACATTAACATTCAACATCACTTTATAAGAGATAAGATTCAAATAAGAGTAATTTATATGAAGTATTATACAACAAAAGACATGCTTGCTCACTTGTTGACAAAAGCATTAATAAAAGATAGACATCACAAGTTGACAAAGGCATTAAGATTAAAAGCCTTTTGATCAATAGCAAATTAAGAGTGTTAAAGTAAAGAGGTAAATATGAAAGAAAAATAAGTAATACTGTAGAGAATATTACTTTAGGTCAATTGCCATTGGTCAAAGGATGGGCTCTTGGTATGTAAGGTTAAGAGAAAAAGAACATGAATGAACTAAGGATCTTAAGAATATACAAAATATACTAAAGGCATATGTTGAAAGTAGATAAGACAACAATGGATAGTATTGGCAGGATGTTAGATGGATATATTCATCGAAACATGGAAGATATCTTTTAGGACAAAAGCAACCATCAATAAGATAAAAGTTGTTCGAAAAAAAAGATGTCTTACTCCATACTCACTTTAATTGCAACCTTGCTAATATTAAGTGTTATGATTCTATATGGCTTGATCTTCAATAGAATTATTCCTATTTTTCTAAACCTCGAGATCTTTCCAAGCTAAACAAGCTCACATCAAAGTTGAAAGCATGTCTACGTCCAAGCATATGAATATGTGTGAATGTATACATATCCATTCATATACAAACAAGTGAATCCATTGGTAAACATGATATGAGAATTGCAGAGAGCAACTACTTTTGCCCTTGAACCCACTTTTTAACGAATGTTTTGGTCCATGTGCTATGCATCATGGTGCAAGTCCCAAGAGCATGCGATAATTCCGTTCCACACAGTGCAAGTCCCAAGCGGATGGGATAATGCCCTGCCATGCAATGCAAATTCTTTAGCTTGATTTGGATGAGGTAAATGGTTACCTTCTAACCCCTCCTGCTGTTTTCCGGTCACTTTCATTCACACCCACATCTTGCACCGACAACTACTAAAGCAGTGAGTGTTTGAACACTAGATCGAAAAAGCATGGGTGGATTCAGCCCCAGCATTTACGTTTGAGCAACGGTAGCAGCAGCAAGTCACAAGCAAAGCCACGCATTCCAAATACAATTTAATGCTGCTCAGGCGCCATGAAACCGGAGAGTGTGGGAATTGAGTATTTACGTATTGGGATCAGATCAGGTTGGTAAAGGGTGCGCGAACCATGAGCATGATACCACTGCGACGAAAGCATCTTCAAACAGCGCCTACCGCACATCTAATGCCTACCGCTCATCTAAACGCAGGAATGATGCACGCACGAAACCAAATCGCTCCCACCCTGACTGGCATCTGGATGCGCCTTCACAAGCATGCACTCGGATGCCTTCATGTCAACAACCAGTGTAAGGAAATTCCGCCCGTTCCTGCTCCCATGAAGGTCGCAGCCCACGCCGTCCCCTTACTGGCAGGAACGCACACAAAACCAAAACCAACAACAACAACAACAACAACAAGGCGTGCCCGAGGCACAGCCAGTTCTCGGCACAAGCCTGGTAGTCCCGAAACCGGCAATGCCCTCCACTGAGACTACCGCAAAAACCACCCGCACACGCCTCCAACATGAATACACCAGATACTCGGCCCTGACTCATGCGGTGCTATATCCGAGACCTTCGCCCTCAAAATTGCTCACTAACCACAATGACAGTGGTCGGGCACAACTTGGAAGGAACTTGTCATCGCCATTGGACATGCCGGTGTGGTCGAAAATGCGTGCCATAGCTGTACAGGACTTCCAGTGCTCCTCACGTCCAACATGGAAGTATGCAGTTTCATCCGAGTGCGCCACAAAGTACGTAAGGTCCAAATTGAATCGGTCACCATGGGAACCGGTAGCCTGCACGGAGGTGCAAGATTCGCCCCCGACTGTGGGTAAGTCTCCTCGCTGGTTCATGGCAGGCGCATTGGCATATCAAGGTACGACCAGCTCCCTCAGTTTCCCACAGTTGGACGCGGACAAGGCATAAAGGGAGAGCGTTGGCGTTGCACCCTCCAGCCGCGCTGCATACTCGGGCACCGCAGGCCCAGGCAGCACAGCTCCAGCAGCAAACAAACGGCATGACACGAAGCCGCACGCGCACACCCAAACGCCATGGCCGCAAGGGTTTGGGCACGCTCGGATGCAGGGGACCATCGAGCAGCTTCGCAATGCAGCGGGGCCGGTGCGGCGGTGGAAGGCAGGTGGAGAGAAAAACACGGCACCGCGGTGGCTGACGCGCTCATCCGGGGTCCATTTCGCGGAAACCAATCCAAGGCCTCCACGTTTGGTGACAATGAATATCTGACACTCGGCGCCCGGAAGTCAACGCCCCCAACTGCTCGAGGCCCAGCCCCCAGATAGCCGCGCATTCGACAGCGATTTTCGTTACTAAAGGGTTTCGCGCGCGCACCTGTCAGAGCCTCAAATGCAGTTCGGTGAGGTGCAGCGACCCGTCAGAGTGAAGTTGACGCAGTGTGGCGATGGGCCATGCGACCTGCTTGTGCGTGGCCAAGGCTAGAAAAAGGCGGCATTGTTCCTGGTCCAAACCATCCTCAGATCGCCTCTCGGTTCAGCGCAGCCCTCAGCCGTGAGCCGTGAGCCGTGAGCCCCTTAGCACAGCTCAGATCAGCTCAGCTCCGCTTGGTGGCTGACCGCTCAGCAAGCAGCAACGTGGTGGTGAGCCGAGTCCAGGAGCAGCAGGATCTCGGAGCCGAGTTGAGCCCCCCAGTAAACGCATCGGGACCGGCAGCGGCAATGGCAATGGCAGTGGCAGTGGCAGGATCGAAGTGGCGTTTCGCAGCTGTAAGCGTTTGTTTGCTGGTGGTGATGGCGATGGTGGCCGAATCCAGCGCTGCCGGGGTGTGCGACCCCAACGCGCTGTACCCGTGCCTGCGAGCCATTCAGGGAGCTCGGCCACCGCCGCCCAGCGCGCAGTGCTGCATGGTGGTCCGCAGGGCGAACAAGAATTGCATGTGCGCTCAGCTGAGGTCCAGCTCCTTCCCCGCCCAGATGGTGAACAACGGGTTGCGGCTGCCCAAGAAGTGTGGTCGCACGGATCTGGGTGGCTTCCGCTGCGGGCGTTACACGTTCCCCAAATGAGCGGATGGTTGCAGGCGGGAAGCAGCAGGAAGGCTGGGCGGTGGGCAATGCGGACCCGGGACGGCGTTGGGCAGCGGAGCGTAGGTGTGGATAGTTCATGTCGGTATAGCCAGGATCACGTGTGTGGCGGTGCAATCATGGGTATTGTATGGGACTCTTGTGGATACCCCATTGTATTGTTTCTTTCCTTCCCCCCATGAAACGCTGGCTTCCTGTTCTCAGCACTACTTGTCCCTTTCACGCGAGTCGTCCTGTTTTTCTACGGGCGCTGGAAGCCGTCGTGTCCCCGAGTGAGCATGTGTCCACTACTGATAGCTACTTGATTTCTATTACTTCAACATTAATCCATATGCCAAGTAAAAATTTCAATAATATAGGTTACAGTCCTTATTAAATCTTCTTTTTCTAATAAGATAAAGGATGTGTCATGTGCATATTGAGTTAATACTTATTAATGTCCTATGATGAGAAGTTAGATGCTTTGTATAGTCCCACTTGCAATGTTCTTTGTTATCATGGTATTTATTGCTTCTCCTACAATTAAGAATAAATAAAGAACCAATGGACATCCTTGTCTCATCCCTCTTATAATTGGAAAATATTTTGATAATGTTCCATTTACCTTTATACAAGTTGAAGCATTTCCTAAAAGAAAATTGACCATGTCTATGAATTCTTTTGAGAAGCCTAGTACTATCATAATTGTGAATAAAAAATAATATTCTATCATATCATATACCTTTGAAAAATCTAATTTGAGAAATAATAGAGGTTGATCTAAATATTCAGCCTATTCCATGGTTTCTTAGGTAAGTAAAAAATTGTCCATATGAATTCCATGAATAAGAATATCAATTGATCTATGCTAATAATATTTATAAGTATTGATCATAAAGATAGGTGCAATGTCATGGCATATATTTTGTAGTCTAAGTTCAAAAGTGTAATGGACTTCCAATTGGTTAAGAAGCAACAATCTCCACCTTTATGAAGAAGGGTTATTGTACTAGTAGTAACTCAAGGAAGGAGGAACCCTAAAATAAGGCTAGTATTAATCATTTCTATGTATTGTTAGCCAATTATGTCTCAAAAAGTGAGATAGAACTCTATCACTACATCTGGGTCCATATACTTAAATTTAGCTAGTATTGAAAGTGCACAAATTGTTTCTTAGAGCGTTAATGGGTCTTTTAGTAAATTTAATGTCTCTATATCTAGTATCATTTCTAATACTTTGTAGGCCTAATCTTGCACCTCCCTAACTACTTTCGAATTGTGGCTTGTTCTTTATAGTTTGTGATAATAATTTATACAGATCTTGGACATAGCGGCCTGGTTGGTATATAATTGCCCTAAATGGTCTACCAATTTTGAAATTTAGGAGCTTAACAACTATTCTTGATTAACATTAAAAAATTTCCATGAGCACCTATCTCTGACTTGCTACCATTTGATTTTGCTCCGTACCCACCCACCCTTAGTTATTTGTACATCCATAGCTTTGAAGTTGTCCATATACTAAACTATATTTTATTGGAGACATGAATTATTGGGATCTCTATATAATTCCAAAATTATATTTGTGAGATTTTGGTAAAGAACATTTTCTTTCCAATGCCGCTCTCTTCTTTTTTGACACACATCTTTATAAAACTTCATACAACACGTATTTTTCTTTAAAAAGATAGATTAGAATGGATATTTCAAATTTGAAAAATGCAATTTAGATTGTTAAATCCTAAAGGTATGATGGATTTATCACATATTATAATATGCACTTGATTTCTAGGAAGAAAAAAATCTATTTTTATATCAAGAGGTGGTCAGAATGGTTGTTATCACCAAGTATGTAATAATCAACACTTGTGAGTCGCTTTCCAAGAGAGACAAAGGAATACACTTTGACAAGCTGTCTTATGGTCTAGAAATGTTTTCTCTGGTAATTATTTCAAATATAAAAAATATAATGAGATGTCAAAAAATTGTTCAAAATTTATAGAATTTGTGTGAGATTGCTGAATAATCGTCTCTTACATGCAAGCAAAGTGGATTCCTTAATATTTGACTTATCAACATTTTTTTTGGAAAAATTTTAATCACCCTCTAAAATCCACTAGCAGTCTCTTAAAAGAGATTGAATTAATTCAATTTACAATTCATACCTCTCAATAGAGGTGAGATATAGGTAGATATTGAAAACATCAATGTCTATGCCAACTGTCTTATGAAAGCTTAGCCATTGTGCCTTCCTTGTGTTTTGAGTATCTCTTAGTAACAATTAAGTGGGCCAATTGGGAAGCAACTCAAAGACATGTGATGATACACATCGGTATCAGATGGTAGCCAAAGCGCTGCTTCTCGCTGATGAGACGCGAATGCACGACCCCTCCTGCTCACCTCCAGGCGGGTGCAAGGGTGCAACGTCATGTGGTTCGCCGCTCTCCTTGGTAACCTGTTGCTAGAGCTCCCGGGCCTAAATCAACTCATTCTCGCAGACTCCAAGTCCAAGTCGAAGTGCAGGTGCAGGCCATGAATGAGGGAGCGGTTCGGACGGATGTTGACCCGATGGTCATGCGAGGTAAGCTTTCCACTTTCGTGGATGAAGTCATCCACTGCAGAGGTGCGGCTGCGGTCGGAGACCCCCGCCGCCGACACATGCCCCGGAGAATGGCAACCGCTTCGTCAGCAACGCTTGAACGATTACGTCGCGGATCTGTTGGACCCGTCCTTCAACGGCAGGGCCGTTCCTGATCTCGGCTCCATACACAGCGTCTCAAACCTCGCAACCTTCCCCATTGTCGAAATCAATCACTCTTAAGTATCAACCAATTAACTAGAACAGAGAATATGTTTATAATTAGCTCTGCAGTCATTGCATGGAGCAATTATTTTTTCGCGTGGTACCACTTTTTGACAAATGTTTCGCACCACCTCATGTTGGAGTTGTTGGTCCACTGGCTATGCACCACAGTGCAAGTCCCAAGCGGATGGGATAATGCCGTGCCATGCAATGCAAATTCTTTAGCTTGATTTGGATGAGGTAAATGGTTACCTTCTAACCCCTCCTGCTGTTTTCCGGTCACTTTCATTCACACCCACATCTTGCACCGACAGCTACTAAAGCAGTGAGTGTTTGAACACTAGATCGAAAAAGCATGGATGGATTCAGCCCCAGCATTTACGTTTGAGCAACGGTAGCAGCAGCAAGTCACAAGCAAAGCCACGCATTCCAAATACAATTTAATGCTGCTCAGGCGCCATGAAACCGGAGAGTGTGGGAATTGAGTATTTACGTATTGGGATCAGATCAGGTTGGTAAAGGGTGCGCGAACCATGAGCATGATACCACTGCGACGAAAGCATCTTCAAACAGCGCCTACCGCACATCTAATGCCTACCGCTCATCTAAACGCAGGAATGATGCACGCACGAAACCAAATCGCTCCCACCCTGACTGGCATCTGGATGCGCCTTCACAAGCATGCACTCGGATGCCTTCATGTCAACAACCAGTGTAAGGAAATTCCGCCCGTTCCTGCTCCCATGAAGGTCGCAGCCCACGCCGTCCCCTTACTGGCAGGAACGCACACAAAACCAAAACCAACAACAACAACAACAACAACAACAAGGCGGCGTGCCCGAGGCACAGCCAGTTCTCGGCACAAGCCTGGTAGTCCCGAAACCGGCAATGCCCTCCACTGAGACTACCGCCAGTTCTCGGCACAAGCCTGGTAGTCCCGAAACCGGCAATGCCCTCCACTGAGACTACCGCAAAAACCACCCGCACACCCTCAAAATTGCTCACTAACCACAATGACAGTGGTCGGGCACAACTTGGAAGGAACTTGTCATCGCCATTGGACACTAACCACAATGACAGTGGTCGGGCACAACTTGGAAGGAACTTGTCATCGCCATTGGACATGCCGGTGTGGTCGAAAATGCGTGCCATAGCTGTACAGGACTTCCAGTGCTCCTCACGTCCAACATGGAAGTATGCAGTTTCATCCGAGTGCGCCACAAAGTACGTAAGGTCCAAATTGAATCGGTCACCATGGGAACCGGTAGCCTGCACGGAGGTGCAAGATTCGCCCCCGACTGTGGGTAAGTCTCCTCGCTGGTTCATGGCAGGCGCATTGGCATATCAAGGTACGACCAGCTCCCTCAGTTTCCCACAGTTGGACGCGGACAAGGCATAAAGGGAGAGCGTTGGCGTTGCACCCTCCAGCCGCGCTGCATACTCGGGCACCGCAGGCCCAGGCAGCACAGCTCCAGCAGCAAACAAACGGCATGACACGAAGCCGCACGCGCACACCCAAACGCCATGGCCGCAAGGGTTTGGGCACGCTCGGATGCAGGGGACCATCGAGCAGCTTCGCAATGCAGCGGGGCCGGTGCGGCGGTGGAAGGCAGGTGGAGAGAAAAACACGGCACCGCGGTGGCTGACGCGCTCATCCGGGGTCCATTTCGCGGAAACCAATCCAAGGCCTCCACGTTTGGTGACAATGAATATCTGACACTCGGCGCCCGGAAGTCAACGCCCCCAACTGCTCGAGGCCCAGCCCCCAGATAGCCGCGCATTCGACAGCGATTTTCGTTACTAAAGGGTTTCGCGCGCGCACCTGTCAGAGCCTCAAATGCAGTTCGGTGAGGTGCAGCGACCCGTCAGAGTGAAGTTGACGCAGTGTGGCGATGGGCCATGCGACCTGCTTGTGCGTGGCCAAGGCTAGAAAAAGGCGGCATTGTTCCTGGTCCAAACCATCCTCAGATCGCCTCTCGGTTCAGCGCAGCCCTCAGCCGTGAGCCGTGAGCCGTGAGCCCCTTAGCACAGCTCAGATCAGCTCAGCTCCGCTTGGTGGCTGACCGCTCAGCAAGCAGCAACGTGGTGGTGAGCCGAGTCCAGGAGCAGCAGGATCTCGGAGCCGAGTTGAGCCCCCCAGTAAACGCATCGGGACCGGCAGCGGCAATGGCAATGGCAGTGGCAGTGGCAGGATCGAAGTGGCGTTTCGCAGCTGTAAGCGTTTGTTTGCTGGTGGTGATGGCGATGGTGGCCGAATCCAGCGCTGCCGGGGTGTGCGACCCCAACGCGCTGTACCCGTGCCTGCGAGCCATTCAGGGAGCTCGGCCACCGCCGCCCAGCGCGCAGTGCTGCATGGTGGTCCGCAGGGCGAACAAGAATTGCATGTGCGCTCAGCTGAGGTCCAGCTCCTTCCCCGCCCAGATGGTGAACAACGGGTTGCGGCTGCCCAAGAAGTGTGGTCGCACGGATCTGGGTGGCTTCCGCTGCGGGCGTTACACGTTCCCCAAATGAGCGGATGGTTGCAGGCGGGAAGCAGCAGGAAGGCTGGGCGGTGGGCAATGCGGACCCGGGA